ATACCCTGACCGTATGTGAATTAGCGGGACTTTCAGCCCCGCTAATACCCAACGGATCAGGATATTATTATTACTAAAACGCTAATTGATATATTATGTAAAGCTGCTCAGATTGTAATTTTGCTATAATATCGATTAGTGGTATTGAGCTTATATTAATGCTTCGCAGGTGCGATCCGAGGGCCTAATCCGAATCGTCGGATCGAGTTCCGGAAGCTCGAGTTACACGAAAAAGCAAATTTTTTTGGACCTACTAGTTATATCGAAAGTGACGTATACTACAGTTTGGGGACAACCTAATCCCAACAAATAAAAATTTTTGGTGGCCAAATTTTAAAGTTGAATTTTTATGGCCAAATTTGAAAATTTAATACGTATAAATTAAGTATATAAAGCAACCAAATTTGGCCAAATTTAGTATACGTATAAAGTGACAAATTTTGATCAAATTTAGTGGCCAAATTTGCTTGTTTTAATATATAATTCAAGTGGCCAAATTTTTTGTTTAATTATAAAATTGCTTTGACTTTAAATCTCACTACTTTATTAAAAATAATTTTAAAAAATTTTAAGATCTACAAGATGTTTAGTTTGACTTGTTTTAATGTTCTATGAAAAAATTTTTTGTTTATTGTTCTTTATAAACAAGGATTAGCATTTTGAGTTTAGTCGATTTTATTTGCTAGGATTAGGTTGTCTGGACTGTACTATGGGCGATGCAAAAATCGCAAGAATTAGGTTCATTACTAACCGCATGACATAACCCAAATTATAAGTTAATTTCATAATGCTGGTCAAAAATCCAAAAATTGCAAATTTTTGAAATTGATATTCAAATTTTCTGTGTCCCCGTGACCCAGTTAAGAGATGCGAGAGTCATCGATTGACTTATATGGGTACAATTTGTTAGATAACCTTCAATTTATCGCTGAATTAATGTGTATTTCTTATTTAAAATCCGAATGGTCATGTAACTTAGAAGACCTTTTAAATTTTTCAGTTATGTAACTCTGGAATTTCAGAACTAAAAAACAATAGCACTAGCTGCTACAGCAATGATAATATTAACAACCACTTAATGGTGATATAAGTGGCAGTGCCAACCATTTCTACCTATATTTTGCTCTTTTTTTACCCTTCTTTTTGGATGTTTTAGATGTATTCGATTTCTTTTTTTTAATAGGAGAGTCCTTCATACCAATTTTTTTTGCTAATTGTGGACTTCTTGAATTGCTTGATTTTCTGTTTTCATCGAGCAGGGTCTCCATTTTATAGATATTAGCCTTAAAATACATAAATAAAAGATCATAAAATAAATATCAACTTTAAATGTCAAAATTTTAATTTGTTTAATTTTGTTTTGTTTTTTACTTACTGAAAGAACACAAATGCATTCAATGAATGTTCGAAGCCGCGCGAAATGATTGTCAAACACTGTCGGAATTTCAATGACTTGAAGTCTCTTTGAAATGAAAACATCATTAACACAAATCATTGCGTTAATACAGTAATAGTGATATTGTATTGAGCAGTAGTCATCCCGAAGAGAATCAAGTTATTGGGGGAGTTGCGACCATGCTCTAATTCTTTCGTCATTATATTATTGAAAGAATTATGCATTAACCGATTTACTTTATCGTAATCACCAATGTGGTTTGATTTTTTCTTATTATTGAGATCTCCAGCTATTTCCAAATAAAATAATTCATAACCTGAACTATTGACAATGAAGAGATCCGGCTTCTTGCCGAGTCTTGATGGATTGTTTTCGATCATTCTTTCTCGAGACGATAACGAATGACTATTCCTAATTTTGATTATTTATTAACATTAAATAAACAAATATATGTCATAGATATATTATATATAATATCGATATATATATATTGTATATACTGTTAAATTATGACATACCAATCTGTGCGTAATTTATCATCTGATACTATCAACTCTGCAACACGCCCGAAAAATTCGACCGACCACTTTGCTTCATTCATTTGAGATGAAAAAAAATTCATCTTATATTTAATAAGCCTTTTTACATTTAAAAATTGTCGGATTTGTGAAAAAATAGATTAATAATATATTAATTTTTGATCGTCTCTACAAATCTGAGTATATATTATACTGTAATAATAAGATTCATAACGATACTTACATCGACTCAACAAACGTGAAAATAAAATAAATTTTTCGAGATTCATGATCTCGAATTGACAATTTATAATTTGACTTCAATTCTTGAAGCCTCTCAAATAGTTCATCAATGCCGTTAATATTCTAAACAGTATTAAAGGTTTAAAAGCTATAATGTTACCAAGTTTTCTCAAAGCAAAATTTTGAGCTATGATTGTTTTTTGGCCAGCAAAAAATTTAAGAATGGTAACAGTAGGATTTTTTTTTTTTACCTACTTACATTGTATAAATTTGAAATTTTTAATAAAAGTTCTGATATATATGATGGAACTGTCATTTCTAGTGAAGAAAAATACTCCTTTAAAGACTTCACTTCCTCATTTTTCAAATACTTGGAATGCGCGTGGAGATCAATGATGCAGTTTTTACTAGGACTAAGAAAAAACAAATATATATAAAATAATTAAAAAAAAAACATCAAATTAAAAAATAATTCAATAAATATTCTTACTCCATCGCGAGTAAATCTTTGTTATTTTTGATTTTTCTTAATATATTGGCCACTGTCGATGAGGAGGAAGCAAATGATGAACAAGCTACGGAAGCTAAGGAGGCCAAGGAAGAAGACCTGTTTGAAGACAGCTCCGACGATGAGCGGGATGATGTTGACTGACATTGGTCAGACGTGTAGTGGGAGCTTTGTCTTTTAACATTTTGGGTGGTTTTCTTAGTGATTCTTCTCCTTTTATTATGCGACTTTCGCTCATTTTGAAGGTTTTTAAGTCGTGAGATCGGAATTAGAAACTGGTCTATATTGTTCTCAATATAGGTTAGGTTCTCTCTCCACAGTTCCAACGAATCTTGTGAATCGATTCCTTCTTCCGTAAGAAAATCAAAGAATTTGTCATAGGACCAGATATTATGATTCCTTTGTATAAAATAGCTCAAGCCCTAATAATAGTGAATGTTTTGCAGTTTGCAAAATAAATGTTAATATGTTGTTTCATGCATATATCATTAATACGTAACATATCCTGCAATTGTTAAATTCAGGGACAGACCAAATTCCGCAAATCTGCCGATATGAGTAATACTGCAACAAACCTCTTTGCAAAACTAGCCAAGAACTAACACGAAAATTTTGTTTCTAATCGGTTAATAGACACTTAGGCTATAATGAGTTCTTTGCGAGGTTTATACAGTACCTCTTCGCAAAGTTGAACAAGAACTTTTTAAATCATTAATAAGTACTTAAACCATAACAAGTTCTTTTCAATGCTTACAATGCAAAATCTTTGCAAGGTTTAACCAAAGAAACTTAATGCAATTGCCAAGTACTATAAGTCTCTTCGCCAGGTTAACCAAGAACCCCAACAATAAAAATTATTGTTTAAAAGAGTCAGTTAATGGGTACTTAAACCGCAACGAGTTCTTTGCAAGGTTTAACCAAGAAGTTAATAATACTTCTTCGCAAGGTTAACCAAGAACCCCCAACACAAAAATTTTTATCTTAAGTCGGTTGATACATAATGAGTTCTTTGCAAGGTTTAACCAAGAAACTTAAAGTCAAGTACTAAAATTAAGTCTCTTCGCAAGGTTAACCAAGAACCCCGACAATAAAAATTATTGTTTAAAAGAGTCAGTTAATGGGTACTTAAACCGCAACGAGTCCTTTGCAAGGTTTAACCAAGAAGTTAACAATACTTCTTCGCAAGGTTAACCAAGAACCCCAACACAAAAATTTTTATCTTAAGTCGGTTAATGCACAATAAGTTCTTTGCAAGGTTTAACCAAGAAACTTAAATACTTTGGTTAAAAATAAATCTCCTTGTATGCATGGTAACAACATAAAGTACCTGATCCCCAACGAATAAGAAGCTCTCACTGCATATAATGGTATTTTCATTATTCTCAAGCTAAATCGTATACAGTATTTAGGAAAAACACAATACCTCTGGCTCCACCTCTGATCTCGTTCGTCTAGACATTATTGTTGAAAAAACTATTACAGTGGTAAGAATTGAAAAAAATACGTATCTATAGCTTATTTATTTTTATCGTGATTTTTTCCAGTAAACAATCATTTTGATTGGCTAATGCACGTGTAATGCAACGTGATCAGGAGCATTCAAAACAAAAGGAACAGGAGGGAACTAGTGTTTGTAGTCAATTTTGCATTAGTCGATAAAATCGGCTTAGCCGGCTTAGTCAGCCTATTTTTCAAAAAATCGACTTAGTCGATTCTATGATAGGTTATATAAATTATATTAAAAATTTAGGCCAGTTTATAGTAGAATTCGAAAATTTCCGAAAAGAAAATCAACGAACATAAAATATGAGCAAGGTTGACAAAAATTTGAGGAAATCTCCGATAACTTTCGAAGGTTAATCAAATAGAACTAAGAATAATCGACTCTGATTTAGCCGGCTAAGCCGATTTTTAAATATCGACTTAGTCAAGTCGATAAATAATGGTCGACTACAAACACTACTTTTTATTTATTATTATTATTATTATTATTATTATTATTATTATTATTATTATTATTATTATTATTATTATTATTATTA